AAATTTCAAATGTAATTTTTAATAGTTTTAAAAATTAATTCTATTCACAAAATTTAACTAATCTCAAAAAAAATATTTCATTAACCAAAAAGAAATCCTTTCTTTTTTTTTAAATTAAAATATTATGTAATTAACAAAAAAAATTTATAACAAAAAAGAGTTTTTTTTTATCAGATATCTTTTTACTCAAGAAGTATGGATAGTAACTTATTATTATCTACATAATATATTATTATTTTATAAATAAATAACATCAATATATTTTATTAACCAATACCTAAGAAAATAGCTAAAAGTATTGTGAATTAAAATTAAAAATAATATTTGAAAAATTATGTTTATTAATATTATTATGTTTACATTTGTATAAAATGTTTATAATATACTTTGTATACTCTATTTTTAAAAGGATAGATTTTTTAAAATTAATTTTAAATACTTACCTTTAAACGTTGCTTCTTAGGATAATAATTATATTCGTTAAGAGTAATAAGCAATTCTCTACTTATTTTAAATAAATATTTTTGTACAGTATTTTATTAAAATAATTGAATTAGTTATGGGTCTATTAATTGTACATTATAATCCTTCTACAGTATTTTAAAATAATCAAATTAATAAATTGAATGTAGATATATATTTTTCCGGGTACATTTATTATAATATAACTTACTGTAAATAATTATACACTTAATTTATTAATAGACAATTCAAATACTCTTAGTATATTAAACAGTTCATTTAACAAGCATCATGTAGATAAATTTATATATGTTTTCTTACTATAAAATCATTCATTATAGATAATATATATTTTTTATACAAATAACCTTTAGAGTAAAAATTAAAAAATTTATTTTTTCTATAAATAAAATCCTCGAATAAAGCATTTAAGAATATATATAAATACAACAAAATCGTAGAAGCATCTATACATGCTCTTTATTAATTTGTTTGTTCAGTACCCTAGTAAAGTCACCGAACACCCAGTTAATAAAACAATAATGTTCTTAATAATTAGTTATAAGTCTAATACTGTTCTATTTATTGTTAATTAAAATTTTTTGGTAGATTAATAAAGGACTTGTGAGTGATTTATATTAATTTTAATTATTGTGGAAATATATATCTGCTATAAGTAAACTTTATACATATAATTTACACATGTCCTACAGATGATATTATCAATCTATTTTAAATGATATTTAAATAAATAAAGCATATATATTTTTATCCGTACCTGCTAAATATAAAAGAAACATATGCATATTTAAATGCATATACTAAAAGTACACGAAGAAAAAAAAAATAATTATATTTTTTATTTTTTTTAGATAATGCATTGTTTATTACTTATTTAACGATTTTACTAATATTGAACAAACAAATCACTAGAGATAATGCAGGGAAAGCTCCACTTATTTTATTTTTATTAAATTAAAGTACAAATCAAATTATTCACTTTTATTAATTAGTATCAAATGTTAATTGCATTAGTTATTTATTATTGTTGTTAACATAAACAATATTACATGTTGATATATTAGTTGTCTCTTCAACGACTTTGTAAGAGTATTGTTTTATCAAGTGGGTGTTCGGTGACTTTGCTAGAATAATGATTTATTAACTGGGTGTTCAGTGAATTTTCTCGAGTACTGAACAAACAAATTAATAAAGAGCATGAAGAGTTGCCTCTACGATTTTGACGTATTTATATATATTTTTATATGCTTTGAACGAGTGATCCTTATTTATGTTATCTACTTCATTCAGCATTCTTTATTTTCAATAGTCATTTATTTACTTTAATAAAAATATTTATTTTTATTAAAAATTCAAATCCTTATTGAACATTAATTATTAATTAATGGTAAATTACTAGTTTATTTGTTATGAGTTACACTCAGCAATTAATATATATTGCTATTGAATTAACAAACATAAACAATTATTGACAAATACAAAAAATTATATAAATATTAATTGCATGGAAATTTAATTGTTATATGTATAAAATTTTCTTATAAAAAATTCATCAAAAAAACGTATTTCCTTCCCTCAAAAAAAAATTCTTTTTTTTTTTTTTTTTATTTATTTATTGCTAATAAATATTTTTCCAATTGATTTTTTTTTATTTTTATCATATTTTTTCTTACCGTCTTTGTACCTTTTTTTTTTTTAAAAAAATGGTGCAGAAAAAAAAAAATTGATCATCAATATTTTTTTCTGTTTGTGTACATGACCAACTTCGTATTCATCATTTAACTAGTCCTTTTATTTTCCAAAAAGGTTAATAAAGCCTTTTATTAACCACAAAGTCACCGAACACCATGTTAATAAATCAGTTGGTTAATACATTGGTCTATAAACAATACTACTGAACTTTTTTGTATAATTTTAGACGAATAAATAGAATAAAAACATTTTATTTTGTGCATGATAGTTCGCAAGGACAAAATGATATAATAAATGTCTTCACTAAAATAGTTATCCAAAAAGTATGTAAACAAAAAACATATGTATATACATACTTGCACTTAAAGTGAGTGCACTTAAAAAAAAATAAATAAATAATAATATTTTTTATGTGTGGGCATTTACAATTAAAAAATAATATATATTATGATGATATTTATTTTATTACAAAAAAAAATGTAATCTTAAAAAAGAAATTAGTTTTTCTTTTTTTTTTTTTTTGGAGGATAATATGCAGACTACTATAGAATGTACATTTTTATTTTAAGCTAAAATGTAATATTTGAGGAAATTACATTTTGGAGTGTTTCTTTATTAAAAAGAAAATAATTAACTAAGCAATATTTAATGTTTATTAATAATAATAAAAATTTTATATCAAAATTAAGTAGAGTTTACGCTATATATTCCTTATTAATTTATTTGTTTGACACTAGAAAAGTAATTTAATAACCATTAATAAATCAGAGCTATAAATAATTTCTTTTCCTCAGGAATATTATCTTATTTATAGTAATTATAATCATTTTAATACTTCATGAACTGTTACTTGGATAATTTATATTTCTATATATCCAATACATACACTATTGAAATTATTTTAATATCATGTAACATCTATGTTAAATATAAGACACTTTTATATTTTACATATTTTTACTTGTAAGAAAAAATTCTACATATATTATTAATAAAATATAAATCATAAAAAATGCACTTTTATTAAATTCACGATTATTTTTTAGAGAAAAACTAGTGTTAAAATATTAAAAATGATAGTATTTATACACACTACTTTTTATTAATAATAAGTCAGTGATTTTAACAAATTAAATTTAGAAAATAAAAATTCTTATTAAAATTCTCCATTAATATTTACAAAGATTTCTTATAAAATTTAGCCTTTTAAGAAAAAGGTTATATTAGAAAGGAACAATTGATGAATTTATTTATACTATATAAATGAGTTACCTAAATTTTTTGGTAACCAAAATAAAAAATAAAAAATTGTTCTATAAATAAATAAATCTAAAAATAAAAAAGAAAATAAACACATTGTAATAATAATCAACACTTGCCAAATAAATATATAAAGGAAAAAAAAAAAAAAAAAAAAAAAAAATAATTTTCTTTTATATTTAATTAGAAGATTATAATAATATATATGCAAAAAGTTATGTTATAATTTTTTTTTATCCTTATTTATTGATATTTTTTATATCACAATAAAAATGCATTCTTTTGAATTTTATAAGAAAAAATCTATTATATCTAACTAAAGGTATATTTTTATATTCAGTAAATAACATTTATATTAAATTTGAAAGTGATAAGAATTTCTAGTAAAAAAGTAAATTTATAAAAATATATTTTTATAATAAAATAAGTAAATTTATCAAAAAATAAAACTTTTTTTAGAAAATATTTTTTTCTGTAAATATATGATTAAAAAAATAGTATTTTTTTTTTTTTTTTTTATTAAATTGTAATTAATTTAATTGACTTTTAAATGTTCTTTTTATAAGATTTGTTATTATAATCCCTTTAATGTAAATAACTATTTTCACTTTTTCTTTTTAATTTATGTACTTAATAAATTTTTTTCATTTTTTTTCAAATAGTTGAAAAAGTAATTTTTTTTAAAAAATAGTTATAATAATAAGTAAATATATACATATATTGTATAAATATTTATCAATAATAAAAATAAAAAAAAAAGAATTATGATAAAAAAAAGTATATTAGAAAAATCAAAAAAGTTATATTTAAAAGAAAAATATACATAAACAAAAATTAGTTTTATATTAATGAAAATTTGTCACAAATGTAGTATACTGTGTGAAAGATACATGAGTATAAAAATTTTTAATTTATAGTGTTTTTTTTTCTTTTTTTGATGCAGATATATCTCTACAATATACGAATATTAATATTTATAAATCATAATATACCGTATATTAAATAATTTAAAGTTCGACATAATTCACAGAGATTGGTAGTTTAGAAAAAAAAGATAAAAAAAAAACCTTAAACATTAAATGTATATCATTTATAATTTTTATACGCATTAAATTAAGAATATTTAATTTTTTTACATAATTTAAAGATAAATAAAATTTTAATCAAATGGTTTTAAAATAACTTTATCCGATTTATTATATTTTTTATTTATTTGTAAATTAATATTTTTATTTTATTTTTTAAAGAATTATCAATATTATTACTATCTAAAGTAATCATAATATCATATGTAATAATAAAAAATTAGAAATTACATTTCATATATGAAAATAATTTTCTCTTTTAAAAATTTAAGAAATTAATATAAGTTATAATAATATCCAAATTAATATTACAAATCCACAATTTAGTATTATTGAAAATTGAAATAATTTTACACCTGAATTAACAACTTCCACTTCAATAATATTCTATAAATATATTAATATGAAAACGTTAATTTTATTTTTAAAAATTACTACACTCCTTTTAATTTGGATGTATCAATGTTTTTATAACGTAAGTTAAAATTTTTACAAAAAATATACATATAGATATATTTTATTTCTAATTATTTTTAACATTCCATTTGATTTACTATTCTAGTAAAAGAAACATTCTACTAAAAAAATTTTTATTTAATCCATAGTGTGATTCCTATAAAACTTTAATTGATAAAAATAGATTGCAAATAAGAAATGAGTTAAAATATGAAAGAGTATTAACAGAGGGTGACATTGCAGGAGGAAACCAAACTTACGTTGAAGGATGCCAAGAAGAATGTCCAGTAGAAAAAAAAAAAAAAGAAAAAAAAAGAAAAAATTGGTTTTTTCCGCTATTACACCACAATGCGTACGATCAATGGCAGAGAGGCATTACTGAAGGATTGTTTGAGCAATTTAAAAATGTAACAAGTGAAATGGATCCTAAATGGAGAGACCAAAAATGGAATAATGAATGGAATGAAATTTCAGCGAACAAATTTAATGAAGCATCTTCAATATTTCATCGAAGTGATATTTCAAAAGATGAAAAAAAAAAATTAATTCTTGGTGTTAAAAATGAACTCTTCATACTATTTGTGAAATTTTTAGAAGAATGTAAGAAAGAGATGAAAAAAAATAAAACAGAATCCGAATCTAAAAAAGAGATGATAGACAATAAAACAGACTCCGAATCTAAAAAAGAGATGAGAGACAATAAAACAGACTCCGAATCTATGAAAGAGATAACATACAATAAAACTGAATCTGAATCTATGAAAGAGACGATAAACAATAAAACAGACTCCGAATCTAAAAAAGAGATTATAGACCATAAAACAGACTCCGAATCTATGAAAGAGATGATAGACAATAGAACAGACTCCGAATCTAAAAAAGAGATGATATACAATAAAACTGAATCTGAATCTATGAAAGAGATGATAAACAATAAAACAGACTCCGAATCTAAAAAAGAGATTATAGACCATAAAACAGACTCCGAATCTATGAAAGAGATGATAGACAATAGAACAGAATCCGAATTTAAGAATGAGATGAGAGACAATATATCAGAATCCGAATCTATGAAAGAGATGAGAGAAAATAGAACAGAATCCGAAACTATGAATGAAATGAGAGGCAATAAAAGAGAATCCGAATCTATGAAAGAGCAGGGAAAAAATAAAATAAAAAATGAGAAATCAAATATTTGGAAATTTCTTTTTAATAGGTTTGATAACCTTTGGGAGAATGAAAATTAATGGTTTAACAGAAAATGTAGGATTATTCATGCACAAGATCTAGTTAAATAAAAGAAAAATTATTATTTTGCCTAAATTTTTTTATAGTGATATATTCTATTTTTAAAAAAAAAAAAAAAAAAAAAAAAATTAAAAGAGCAAAATTTTTTAGAAAGAAAAAATTTCATGAGAATATTTTTTAATTTTTAAGAATAAAATTTTCGTTATGTGATATTAATATAATTCAATATTTTTTTTTTTACTTTTTAAGTATTTTTATTAATTTTTAAAAGCAGTGAACTTAAATTACTCAAAATTACTTATAAAAAGCAATAAATATTTTGTACTTAAAAATTAATAATTAATGAGAATATGTGTTTTCAATTGAAATGCATAATTTTTATAAAGGTAAATTTACAATGAACCGTATTATTGCAGTTTATTTGCTTATATCATTAAAATTATATTTAAACTCCATTTAATTACTAGAGAAAACTCAATATTCTCTTTAATAATATGTTTTTCATTACTCTAGCAAATTCATGGAATGATAATTTAATAAATTAAAAATGTAAATTATGGAAAATAAATAAATCAGGTAGTAAATGTAGAGGATAAAATAGAAGAAAAAATGTTGGATGCAGAATTATTACCATTTTATCTACATGACAAAAAAAGGACACATAAAGAAAAAAAAAAAAGTCTTTATTGAGAATTATTATAGTTGAAGATTTGTTAATAAAAGGAATTATTAGTCTTTTTGAGAAAAAAATTAATAGTGAATGGAAAATAAATAGACATGAAAGTACTAGATAAATGATTAAAAAAAGAATTGAATAGTGTGAAAAAAATATTCAAGTTATTAAAAAATAGAAGAAAAATTGATAAGAAGTTTTTTCGTGGAAAATTTTTATCATTGAATTTTAAGCAGAAAATTTTATATTAACAATAGTAAAATTCTCGTGTTTGTAGTATTGTATAATTTATTTCATATTTTGTTATTTATATTTGCCAATTCGCGAAAAGTGAATTTGAATTGTTGAAAATTAATCATAATATTATAAGTAATATATATGTGATTTAGAACTATAATTAATAAAGATTTAAACTTTTAATAAAAATTAGGGATTTTTATTAAAATAATTAAATGCCTCTTAAAAACAATAAATACTAAATGAAGGAGACCATATACATTTCAATGGTTTAAAGTGTTAAAAACAAATTTACATTCTTTTGAATGATAGAAGAAACTCTACATGCTCGTTGTAAATCCTTTTTTTCAATAATCCAGCAAAGTAATGAATAGGAAATTAATAAACCATTAATTACATTTATTTAACTTATATTATGATTTATATTCAGCAATTCAAATTTATTGCGCTCAAATTAACTAGCATAAATAATTGATAAAATTCAAATTAAATTACGTAAGTACTACAAAACACAAAAATTTCATTATAGTTAATATAAAATTTTCTTATTAATGTTTAAACAAAAATACATCACATTAATCTTTTTTAGTCAATACCTTTTTTTCTATTTTTCGACTGCTAAATTCCATTTAAAAAAAGTAAAAATTTATTTTATTGTGTATTTTAATCACAAAAATAAAAAAAACATTAACTAATTTTTTTTTTTTTCTTTTTTTTTTAATTAACAATTGCATGTTGGTTAATAATGTTTATTATTAACCTTTTTAAAATAAACGATAATAGTTGTATGGAAAATATATATTTATACATGCAAATTATAGATGCAAAAAAAAAAAAAAAAAAAAAAAAAAAAATAATTGTCAATTTCTTTGTTTTCTTTTTCTAATTTTAAATACAGAAAAAAAAATATATTTACTTTTTTTTTGAAATGACTAATTTTTCAGTTGAAATATTAATTTATATATTTCTTATTCAATAACTTTGCTGGAATACTGATTTATTAACTGGGTGTTCGGTGATTTTGCTAGACTATTGAACAAACAAATTTATAAAGAGCATGTAGAGATGCCTCTACGGTTTTGGTGTATTTATATATACTTTTATATGCTTTGAACAAGTGATCCTTAATTATGTAATCTACTTCATTCAGCATTCTTTGATTTCAATAGATATTTATTTGCTTTAATAAATATCCCAATTTTTATTAAAAATTTAAATCCTTATTGAACATAGATTATTAATTTATTGTAAATTACATGTTTCATTGTTATGAGTTTCATTAAGCAATTAATATGTATTGCTGTTGAATTAACAAACATAGACAATTCTTGACAATACAAAGAAAATTATATAAATATTTATTAGATGAAATTTTTATTGTTATATGTATAAAGTTTTCTTTTGCAAAATTCATCACAAAATATATTTCATTCTCTAAAAAAAAAATGAATTTTTTTTTTTTTTTTTTTATTTATTAATAACAAATCTTTTTCCAATTGATTTTTTTCTTATCAATTTTTTTTCCTGATGGTCTTTGTACTTTTTTTTTAAAAAAAAAAAAAGTGCAAACAAAAAAAAATTGATGATCAATTTTTTTTTTTGTGTTGTGCATGACACACTTCATATTCAACATTTAACTAGTCCTTTTATTTTCCAAGAAGGTCAATAAAGCCTTTTATTAACTATAAAGTCACCGAACACCCAGTTAATAAATCAATTGGTTAATACATTTGCTGTATAAACAATACTATTGACCTTTTTTGTATAATTTTAGACGAATAAATAGAATAAAAACATTTCATTTTGTGCATGCTAATTAGCAAGGACAATCTGATATCATAAATGTCTTCTCTAAAATAGTTATTCAAAAAGCATGTAAACAAAAAATATATGTATATACATACTTGCACTTAAAGTGAGCTCACATAAAAAAAAATAAATAAATAATAATATTTTTTTTGTGTGGATATTTACAATTAAGAAAAAATATATATTATGATGACATTTTCTTTATTACAGAAAAAAAATGTAATCTTAAAAAAAAAAATTACTTTTTCTCTTTTTTTTTTTGGAAGTTAATGTTCAGACTACTATAGAATGTATATTTTCATTTTAAACTAAAATGTAATATTAAGGAAATTACATTTTAGTGTGTTGCTTATAAAAAAAAAAAATAATTTACTAATAAGTCATATTTAATGTTTATTAATAATAATAAAAATTTTATATTAAAATTAAGTAGAGTTTACACTATATATTCCTTAATAATTTATTTGTTTGACACGAGAAAAGTAATTTAATAACCATTAATAATTCAGAACTATAAATAATATCTTTTCCTTAGGAATATTATCCTATTTATGATAATTATAATAATTTTAATAATTCATGATCTGTTATTTGGATAATTTATGTTTCTATATCTGCAATATACACACTATTCAAATTATTTTAATATAATGTAATATTTATGTTAAATGTAAGACATTTTTATATTTTACATATATTTACTTGTAATAACAACTTCTACATAAAATATTAATAAAATATAAATCATACAAGATATACTTTTATTAAATTTATGATTATTTTTTAGAGAAAAATTAGTGTTAAAATATTAAAATGGATACTATTTATACACACTACTTATTAATAATACGTCAATGATTTTAACAAATTAAATTTAAAAAATAAAAATTCCTACTAAAATTCTGCTTAATATTTAAAAGATGCCTTATAAAATTTAACCTTTTAAGGAAAAAGTTATATTAGGAAGGGACAACTGTTGAAATCATTTATACTTTTTCATAAAAGGCTTCATTAACCTTTTTGGTAATAAAAAGGACTAGCTATACGAAGAATACGTAGTTGGTCACACACACGAAAAAAAAAAAAAATTATTGAATTTTTTTTTATTTTTTTTTTTAACAGATAGAGATACGTAAAAAAAAAATATACACATTTTTTTTAAAAAGATTTAATGAAAGAGAGAAAATTGGTAAAATAAAAATTGGTAATAACATTTAGTACCAATAAAAATGATATCTTAAATAGATAAAAGATATTTACATATAAAAGAGTTTAATTTACATAATATTTATATTTTTAATTTGTGAGAGAAAATTTTATACATATAACAATATAATTTTTACATAATTAATATTCATATAATTAGTTTACATTTTTATTAATTATTTATGTTTGTTAATTCAACAGCAATAAATTTAAATTTATGAACATAACTCATAACGATAAAATAAGTGATTTACATTTAATTAATAATCAAACTTTAATAAGGATATAAATTTTTAAAAAAAATAAAGATAATTATAAAAGTAAATAAATGTCTATTGAAATCAAAAAATGCTGAATGAAGTAGATAACATAAATAAGGATCACTCGTTCAAAGTATATAAAAATAAATATAAATACATCATAATCGTAGAGGCATCTCTACATGCTCCTTATTAATTTGTTTTTTCCGTACTCTAGCAATGTCACCTAACATCCAGTTAATAAATCAATACTATACAAATGATTTACCTAAATTTCGTAAGTAAAAGGAAAAATAAAAAATTGTGCTATAAATATATAAAACTAGCAATAAAAAAGAATATAAACACATCGTAATAATAATCAACACTTATGAAATAAATATATAAAGGCAAAAAAAAAAAAAAAAAAAATTTTTTTTTATATTTAATTAGAAGATTATAATAATATATATGCAAAAAGTTATTTTATAATTCTGTTTTATCTTTAATTATAGATATTTTATTTATCAAAATAAAAATGGATTCATTTGAATTTTATAAGAAAAAATCTATTATATTTATCTAATGATATATTTTTATATTCATTAAGTAACATTTATATTAAGTTTGAAACTGATAAGTATTACTCGTAAAAAAGTAAATTTATAAAAAGGTATCTTCAGAATAAAGTAAATTTGGCAAAAAATAAAACTTTTTTTGAAAAATGTTTTTTACTGTAAATATATGATTAAAAAAATAGTAATTTTTTTTTTTTTTTTTCAAATGTAATTAATTTATTTCACTTGAAAATGTGCTTTTTATAAGATTTATTATTATAATTTCTTTAAAGCAAATACCTATTTTAAATTTTTTTTTTTAATTTAAGTGCTTAATAAATTTTTCTTATTTCTTTTCAAATAGTTGAAAAAGTAATTTTTTTTTAAAAATAGTTATAACAAAAATAAATGTATACATATATTGTATAAATATTTAAAAATAATTAAAATAAAATAAAAACAATTAGGATAAAAAAAAGTATATTAGAAAAATCAAAAACGTTATATTTAAAAGAAAAATATTCACAAATAAAAATTAGTTTCATATTAAGTGAAAAATTGTGACAAATGTAGTATACTGCATGAAAAATATATTAGTATAAAAATTTCTAATTTATAGAGTTTTTTTTTTTTTTTGATGGAGATATATCTCTATAATATACGAACATTTATATTTATAAATCATAATATACCGTATATAAAATAATTTAAAGTTCGACATAATTCACAGAGATTGGTAGTTTAGAAAAAAAAGATAAAAAAAAAACCTTAAACGTTAAATTTATATCATTTATAATTTTTATGCGTATTAAATTAAAAATATTTAATTTTTTTTACATAATATAAAGATAAATAAAATTTTAATAAAATATTTTTAAAATAACTTTATTCTATTTATTATATTTCTTATTTATTTGTAAATTAACATTCTTATTTTATTTTTTAATGTATTAAGAATATTATTCCTACCTAAAGTAAACATAATATCATATGTAATAATAAAAAATTAGAATTTACATTCCATATATAAGAATAATTTTCTATTTTAAAAATTTAAGAAATTAATATAATTTATAATAATATCTAAATTAATATTACAAATCTATAATTTAGTATTATTGAAAATTGAAACAGTTTTACACCTGAATTAACAACTTCCACTTCAATATTATTCTATAAATATATTAATATGAAAACGTTAATTTTATTTTTAAAAATTACTACATTCCTTCTTTTAATTTGGATGTATCTTTTTTTTTATAACGTAAGTTAAAATTTTTACAAAAAATATACATATAGATATATTTTATTTCTAATTATTTTTAACATTCCATTTGATTTACTATTCTAACTAAAGAAACATACTTTTTAAAAAATTTTTACTTAATCCTTAGTGTGATTCCTATAAAAATTTGATTGATAAAAATATATTGCAAACAAAAAATGAGTTAAAATATGAAAGAGTATTAACAGAGGGTGACACAGCAGGACAAAAACAAACTAACTGTGAAGGATGCAAAGAAGAATGTCCAGTAGAAAAAAAAAAAAAAGAAAAAAAAAAAAAATATAGGTATATTCCGCTAGTACGCCAGAATCCGTACGATCGATGGCAGACAGTCAATAATCCAACATTGTTTGAGCGATTTAAAAATGAAACAATTGGAATGGATGATAAATGGAGAGACCAAAAATGGAATAATGAATGGAATAAAATTTCAGCGAACAAAGTTAATGAATTATCTTCAATATTTAATCAAAGTGATATTTCAAAAAAAGAAAAAGAAAAATTAATTTATACTGTTAAGGATGAACTCTTCGGACTATTTGCAAATTTTTTAAAAGAATGTAAGAAAGAGATAAGAGACAATAAAGCAGAATACGAATCTAAGAAGGAGATGATAGGCAATAAAACAGAATCCGAATATATGAAAGAGATGGGAGAAAATGGAAGACAATCCGAATCTATGAATGAGATGATAGACAATAAAGCGAAATCCGAATCTGAGAATGAGATGAGAGACAATAAAATGGAATCCGAATCTGAGAAAGAGATGAGAGACAATAAAGCAGAATGCGAATCTGAGAAAGAGATGAGAGACAATAGAACAGAATCCGAATCCATTAAAGAGATGATAGACAATAGAACAGAATCCGAATCCATTAAAGAGATGATAGACAATAGAACAGAAACCGAATCTATGAAAGAGATGATAGAAAATAAAGCAGAATCCGAATCTGAGAAAGAGATGAGATACGATAAAACAGAATCCGAATCTAGGAAAGAGATGAGAGACAATAAAGAAGAATCCGAATCTGAGGAAGAGATGAGATACGATAAAACAGAATCCGAATCTAGGAAAGAGCAGGGAACAAATGAAATAAAAAATTATAAAAAAAAAATTAGGGAATTACTTATTGTTTTGATAATCTTAAGGAGAATATAAATTAGTGGTTTAACATAGTATATAGGATTAGTCATGTGCAAGATCTAGTTGAAAAAAAAAAAAATTAATATTTTGTCTAAATTTGTTTTATAGAAATATATTTAATTTTTTAAAAAAAAAAAATTTCATGTGAATATTTTTAATTTTTAAGAATAAAATTTTCGTTCAGTGATATTAATATAATTAAATTTTTTTTTTATTTTTTAGGTATTTTTATTATTTTTAAAAGCATGTAAATAAATTACTGAATTACTTATAAAAAGCAATAAATATTTTGTACATAAAAATTAATTATTAATTAGAATATATGTTATTAATAAAAATACATAATTTTTGTCATAGTAAATCCACAGTGAACCGCATTATAGCGGTTTATTTGTTTATATCATTAAAATTAGATTTAAAATACATTAATTATTAGAGAAAACTCCATATTCTCTTTAATAATTTGTTTTTCATTACTCTAGCAAATTCATTCAATAATAATTTAATAAAATAAAAATGTAAATTATGGAAATTAAATAAATCAGGTAGTAAATGTAGAGGATAAAATAGAAGAAAAAAAGTTGGATGCAGAATTATTAACAGCTAGTTTCTTAATTGGATGTTCGGTGAATTTGCTAAAGTACTGAACAAGCAAATTAATAAAGAGCATGTGGAGTTGCCTCTACGATTTTGATGTATTTATATAAACTTTTATATGCATTGAACGAGCGATTCTTAATTATGTAATATACTTCATTCATCATTCTTTAATTTCAAGACGCATTTATTTACTTTAATAAAAACCTTATTGAATATTGATTATAATTTAATTGTAATTTATTTATTTCTTTGTTATGAGTTATGTTCAGCAATTTAAATATATTGCTGTTGAATTAGCAAGCATAAAAAATTAGTGAAAAATACAAATTAATTATACGAATATTAATTACATGAAAATTTTATTGTTATTGATATAAAAATTTTCTCTTACAAATTAAAAATATAAATATTATGCGAATTAAACTCTTTTATGTAAATAATTTTTTATCTGCTTAAGATCTTATTTTTATTGGTACTGTATCTTACTATGAATTTTTTTTTACCAATATTTTTCTTCTAATTTAAATCATTTAAAAAAAATAAATATATTTTTTTTTTACATATCTCTCTTTTTTTTTTAAAGAATAATAAAAAAAAATTCATCGTCATTTTTATTTTTCTTGCGTGTGCTGACCAACTGCGTATTCTTCATTTAACTAGTCCATTTATTTTCCAAAAAGGTTAATGAAGCCTTTTATTAACAAACATTGGAATTTGTACTTCTTTACCTCTATAATATATAGGTACCGCTTTTAGAATTCCTCTTTCAATTTTAGTTACTCTGTGAGGAAATGACCATAAGGTTTATATTGTATATTCTCACTATAGTGTTTCATTTGATTCCTTTCGTATTCATATAATCCGTATGAGATAATATCTCTAACCTTAATATTTTTATTCTCAATTATAAGTTTTCTTTTGATTTCATTAACATATGCATGTATGTTTTTCCATCTATCGTTTAAGTATATGATCCTCATTTCAGAAGTTGTTTCTCGTGATAATTTAGCAAACCCTGAACAGATACAATCTATTCCAAACATAGAAAAATAGAGTGTTTCTCCCATAGCTCCATGAGGCGTATTATTATATATTAGTACTGCATTTTGTACTATTTCCTCAAAAGGTAGATCTTATTCTTCATATAAAGTCTTAATGATATAATCTAAGCTTTTATGAAAGATTTCATTTATACCATTTTCTTGTGGATGATATGCGCTGGTATGATATAATTTAATCTGTAATTCTTATGTAACATAAAAATTAAATTCTTGATTAGTATAAATTGAACTGCCATCTGTTAAAATGCTTCTAGGGAATCCAAATATAGGTATCCATGTTTTCCTTATAATGTTACTTTTGTCAATAGAATTAGGTGTTTTATTAGTTATATTAGTTACCATAAAACGTGTATGATGATCTATTGCTACTTGTATATTGTATTATGTACCTACCATGTTTTAGGTCCTATAATATCCAATGAAACCATATCAAATACATTAGGTTTTGATAAAGCTTGATTATTGTTGGGTTTAAATTTCCTATTACGCATTACATGACAAATTAAACAATTTATGATGTATTCTTCAATATTTTTACTAATATTAGGCCACAAAAAATGTTTTTGTATTTTCTTTAGTGTTTTATTTACTCCACAATGTCCTGCGAAATTATTACCATGAAACCAATACATTAAATGATTTCTATATTTTTCTGATATATATAATTTTCCTGTTCTATGATTGATTAATAAAAGGCTTCTTTAACCTTTTTGATAAGAAAAAGGACTAGCTATATGAAGAATACGTAGTTGGTTGTGCAAACGCAGAAAAAAAAAAAAAAAAAAAAAAAAAATTATTTAATTTTTTTGATATTTTTTCTTTTGATAAATAGAGAAACGTAAAAAAAAAAAAATATATTTATTTTTTTTTAAATGATTGAATTGAGGAGAGAAAATTGTTAAAATAAATATCGAGAGTAAGGTTTAGTACCAATAAAAATGAGATATAAAACGGATAAAAGCATTTACACATAAAAGAGTTTAATTTGCATAATATTTATATTTTTAATTTGTTAGAGAAAATTTTATACATATGACAATAAAATTTTCATGTAATTAATATTCATATAATTAATTTGTATTTTTACTAATTGCTTATGTTTGTTAATTCAATAGCAATACATTTAAATTGCTGAACATAACTCATAACAGAGAAATAAATAAATTACAATTATATAATAATGAATATTCAATAGGGATTTAAATTTTTAATAAAAATAAGGATTTTTATTAAAGTAAATAAATGCCTATTGAAATCAAAAAAGCTGAACGAAGTAGAGCACATAATTAAGAATCACCTTTCAAAGCATATAAAAATATATATAAATACATGAAAATCGTAGAGGCAACTCTATATACTCATTATTAATTTGTTTGTTCAGTACTCTAGCAAAGACACCTAACGCCCAGTTAATAAATCAATACCATAGATCTTTTAATATAATAGTAAAAGGTTTCACAAGTTGTAACTATTGAAAATAATTTTATTTATATTATACTCTATTTCCGCTGAATATCACTAAGTTTTCTTGACGTATAGTGAACATATTTAGCTTTACCTATGTTGCTTATATCCGCTAATACATTGCTCTATAAATAATACTATTGACCCTGTGTGTATAATATTTAGACGAATAAATAGATTAAAAACAATTTATCTTGTGCATGTTTATTCGCAAGGACAATTTGCTATCATAAATATTTGCTCTAAAATAGTTATTCAAAAAGTATGTAAACAAAAAAAATATGTATATACATACTTGCACTTAAAGTGAACGCACTTAAAAAAAAATAAACAAATAATAATATTTCCTTTGTGTGGGCATTTACAATTAAAAAATAATATATATTATGATGATGTTTTTTTATTACAAAAAAAGAAGTTAGTTTTTTTTTTTTTTTTGGAGGATAACGTGCAGACTACTATAGAATGTATATTTTTATTTTAAGCTAAAATGTAATATTAAGGAAATTACATTTTGAAGTGTTGCTTATATTAAAAAAAAAATAATTAACTAAGTAATATTTAATGTTTAATAATAAAAATAAAAATTTTATATTAAAATTAAGTAGAGTTTACACTACATTTTCCTTATTAATTTATTTGTTTGACACTAGAAAAGTAATTCAATATCCATTAATAAATCAGAGCTATGAATAATTTATATTGCTTAGGAATATTATCCTATTTATAATAATTATATTAATTTAAATACTTCATGAACTGTTATTTGGATAATTTAAGTTTCTATATCTCCAATACACAAACTATTCAAATTATTTTAATATCATGTAATATCTAGGTTAAATGTAAGACACTTTTATATTTTACATATTTTTACTAGTAAGAAAAAAATTCTACATATAATATTATAATAATTTAAATCATAAAAAATGCACTTTTATTAAATTCACGATTATTTTTTAGAGAAAAATTAGTGTTAAAATATTAAAAATGATAGTTACTATACACACCAGTTTTTATTAATAATACATCAATGTTTCTAACAAATTAAATATAAAAAACAAAAATTCTTATTAAAATTCTCCATTAATATTTACAAAGATGTCTTATAAAATTTAACCTATTAGGAAAAAAGTTATATTAGGAAGGAACAATTGTTGAATTCATTTATACCATATAAATGAGTTAACTAAATTATTTGGTAAGTAAAATGAAAAATAAAAAAGTATGCTATAAATATATAAAACTAAAATTAAAAAAGAAAATAAACACATTGTAATAATAATCAAAACTTATCAAATAAATATATAAAGGCAAAAAAAAAAAAAAAAAAAAATAATTTTTTTTTATATTTAATTAGAAGATTATGAAAATATATATGCAAAAAGTTATATTATAATTCTTTTTTATTTTTATATATTGATATTTTTTATATTGCAATAAAAATGTATTCTTTTGAATTTTATATGAAAAAACCTTTTATATTTAACTAAATATATATTTTCATATTCAGTAAATAACATTTATATTAAATTCAAAACTGATAAGAATTATTCGTAAAAAAGTAAATTTATAAAAATGTATTTTTAGAATAAATTGAGTAAATTTATTAAAAAATAAAACCTTTTTTAAAAAATATCTTTTACGGTAAATATATGATTAAAAAAATAGTATTTTTTTTCCTTTTTTAAATTGTAATTAATTTATTTCACTTTAAATGTGCTTTTTATAAGATTTGTTATTATAATTTCTTTAATGTAAATACCTATTTTCACTTTTTCTTTTGAATTTAAGTACTTAATAAATTTTTTTCATTTTTTTAAAATAGTTGAAAGAGTAATTTTTTTTAAAAAATAGTTATAACAAAAAATAAATATATACAAATATTGTATAAACATTTATCTATAATAAAAATAAAAAAAATAAAATTAAGATAAAAAAAACTATTTTAGAAAAATCAAAAAAGTTATATTTAAAAGAAAAATATTCACAAACAAAAATTAGTTTAATATTAAGTGAAAAATTGTGACACATGTAGTATACTGCATGAATAATACATGCGTATAAAAATTCTTAATTTATAGAGTTTTTTTTCCTTTTTTCATGGAGATATATCTCTATAATATACGAAGATTTATATTTATAAATCATAATATACCGTATATATAATAATTAAAAGTTCTACATAATTCACAGAGATTGGTAATTTAGAAAAAAAAATTAAAAAAAGTCCTTTAACATTAAATGTATATCATTTATAATTTTTATGTGCATTAAATTAAAAGTATTTAATTTTTTTACATAATATAAAGATAAATATAATTTTAATAAAATATTTTTAAAATAATTTTATCTGATTTATTATATTTTTTATTTATTTGTAAATTAACATTCTTATTGTATTTAAGGAATTAAGAATATTATTTCCATCTAAAGTAACCATAATATCATATGTAATAATAAAAAATTAGAAATTACATATCATATATGAAAATAATTTTCTATTTTAAGAATTTAAGATATTAATACAAGTTTTAATAATATCTAAATTAATATTACAAATCCATAATTTAGTATTATTGAAAATTGAAACAATTTTACACCTGAATTAACAACTTCTACTTCAATATTATTCTATAAATATATTAATATGAAAACGTTAATTTTATATTTAAAAATTACTACATTCCTTCTTTTAATTTGGATGTATCAATGTTTTTATAACGTAAGTTAAAATATTTACGTAATATATACATATAGATATATTTTATTTCTAATTATTTTTAACATTCCATTTGATTTACTATTCTAACTAAAGAAAAATACTTTTTAAAAAATTTTTATTTAATCCTTAGTGTGATTCCTATAAAACTTTGATTGATAAAAATATATTGCAAACAAAAAATGAGTTAAAATATGAAAGAGTATTAACAGAGGGTGACATAGCAGGACAAAAACAAACAAACGCTGAAAGATGCAAAGAAGAATGTCCAGTAGAAAAAAAAAAAAAAGAAAAAAAAATAAAATATTGGCATTTTCCTCTAATACGCCAGAATCCATACAATCGATGGCAGGTAGTTAATAATCCAGCACTGTTTGAGAGACTTAAAAATGAAACAAGTGGAATGGATCCTAAATGGATAGACCATAAATGGAATAATGAATGGAATAAAATTTCAGAGAACAAAGTTAATGAACTATCTGAAATATTTAAGCGAAGTGGTATTCCAAAAGAAGAAAAAGATAAATTAATTCTTGGTGTTAAGGAAGAACTCTTCCGACTATTTCAGGAATTTTTAGACGATTGTAAGAAAGAGATGAGAGGCAATAAAACAGAAACTGAATCTAAAAAAGAGATGAGAGACAATATAACAGAATCCAATTCTAAGAAAGAATAGGGAAAAAATAAAATAAAAAATAAGAAATCAAATACTTGGAAATATCATTTCTAATAGGTTTGATGACCATTAAGAAAATAAAAATTAATGGTTTAACAGAGAATATAGGATTATTCATGTACAAGATCTAGTTAAATAAAAAAAAATTTAATATTTTTTCTAAATTTTTTTTACAGAGATATATTTTATTTTTTTTAAAAAAAAAAAATTAAATGAAAAAAATTTTTTAGAAAGAAAAAATTTCATGAGTATATTTTTTAATTTTTTTAGGAATAAAATTTTCGTTAAGTGATATTAATATAATTAAAATTTTTTTTTTTTTTTATTTAAGTATTTGTATTATTTTTAAAACCAGTGAACTTAAATAACTGAAAATTACTTATAAAAAGCAATAATTATTTTGTACTTAAAAATTAATAATTAATGAGGATATAGGTTTTTAATAAAAGTACATAATTTTTATCAAAGTAAATTAACAATTAACCACATTATTGCAGTTTACTTTTTTATATCATTAAAATTAGTTTTAAAATTCATTTAATTACTAGAGAAAACTCCTTATTCTCTTTATTAATTTGTTTTTCATTACTCTAGTAAATTCATTGAATGATAATTTAATAAATTAAAAATCTAAATTATGGAAAATAAATAAATAAGGTATTAAATGTAGAGGATAAATTAGATGAGAAAATGTTGGATGCACAATTATTACCAGCTTACCTACATGACAAAAAAAGGACACAAAAAGAATAAAAAAAAGTTTTTATTGAGAATTATTAGAGTTAATGATTTCTTAATAAAAGGAATTATTAGCCTTTTTGAGAAAGAAATTAATAGTGAATGGAAAATAAATAGACATGAAAGTACTAGATAAATGAGAAAAAAAAGAATTGAATAGTGTGAAAAAAATATTCATGTTATTAAAAAATAGAAGAAAAATTGATAAAAATTTTTTTCGTGGCAAATTTTTATCTTTGAATTTTAAAGAGAAAATTTTATATTAACCATAATAAAATTTTCGTGTTTGTAGTATTGTATAATTTATTTCATATTTTGTTATTTATATTTGCTAATTCGCGAGAAGTAAATTTGAATTGTTAAACATTAATCATAACATTATAATTAATATATATGTGATATAAAACTATAATTAATAAAGATTTAAATTTTTAATAAAATAGGGATTTTTATTAAAATAATTATATGCCTCTTAAAAACTATAAATGCTCAATGAATGAGACCATATACATTTTAATGGTTATAGTATTAAAAACAAATTTAAATTCATTTAAATGGTAGAAGAAACTCTACATGCTAGTTGTAAATCCTTTTTTTCAATACTCCAGCAATGTAATGAATAGGAAATTAATAAACCATTAATTACATTTATTTTACTTATATTATGATTTATATTCAACATTTCAAATTTATTGATCTCAAATTAACTAGCATAAATAATTGATAAAGTGAAAATTAAATTAAGTAAGTACCACAAAACACAAAATTTTATTATAGTTAATATAAAATTTTCTTATTATAATTTAAATAAAAGTACACTACAATAAGCTTTTTTAGTCAATAAATTTTTCATCTATTTTTCGACCAGTAAATTCCTATTAAAAAAAGTAAAAATTTATTTTTTTTGTGTATTTAAATTACAAAAATAAAAAAAACATTAACTAATTTTTTTCTTTTTTTTTTACTTAACAATTGCATGTTGGTTAATAAAATGTATTATTAACCTTTTTGAAAATAAACGATAATAGTTCTATGGAAAATACATAATTAAACAAGCAAATTGTAGATGCAAAAAAAAAAATAAATAAAAAAAAAAAGTTAATTGTTAATTTCTTTATTTTCTTTTTCTAATTTTTAAATGAAAAAAAAAAATTAAATTTACATTTTTTTTGAAATGATTAATTTTTCAGTTGAAATTATAATTTATTACTTTCTTATTAAATAACTTTGCTAGAATATTGTTTTATTAACTGGGTTTTCGGTGACTTTGTTAGTGTACTGAATAAACAAATTAATAAAGAGCATGTAGAGTTGTCTCCACGGTTTTTATGTATTTATATATATTTTTAAATGCTTTGAACGAGTAATTCTTAATTATGTAATCTACTTCATGCAGCATTCTTTGATTTCAATAGGCATATATTTACCTTAATAATAATCCTTATTTTCATTAAAAATTTAAATCCTTATTGAACATTGATTATTAATTAATTGCAAATTACTTGTTTCATTGCTATGACTTTCATTAAGCAATTAATATTTATTGCTGTTAAATTAACAAACATAGACAATTCTTGGCAATACAAGGAAAATTATATAAATATTTATTATATAAAAATTTTATTGTTATATGTATAAAATTTTCTTTTGCAAAATTCATCACAATATATATTTCATTCCCTAAAAAAAAAATTTTTTTTTTTTTTTTTTTTTATTGGTAACAAATCTTTTTCCAATTGATTTTTTTTTTTTAATAAATTTTCTTTTTTCCAAACGGTCTTTTTTTTTATAAAAATACAAACAAAAAAAAATTGAGCATTTTTTTTTTTTTTTTTTTTTCGTGTCCATAACCAACTACGTATACTTAATATAGCTAATCTTTTTTATTACCAAAAAGGTTAATAAAGCCTTTTATTAACCACAAAGTCACCGAACACGCAGTTAATAAATCAATTGGTTAATACATTGCTCTATAAACAATACTATTGATCTTTTTTGTATAATTTTAGACGAATAAATTGAATAAAAACATTTCATTTTGTGCATGCTAATTCGCAAGGACAATATGATATAATAAATGTATTCTCTAAAATAGTTATTCAAAAAGCATGTAAACAAAAAAAATATGTATATACATACTTGCACATAAAGTAAGCGCACTTAAAAAAAAATAAATAAATAATAATATTTTTTTTGTGTGAATATTTACAATTAAAAAAAAATATATATAATGATGATATTTATTTTATTCAAAAAATAACGTAATCTTAAAAAAGAAATTAGTTATTCTTTTTTTTTTTTTTTGGACGATAATGTGCAGACTACTATAGAACGTATATTTTTATTTTAAGCTAAAATGTAATATTAAGGAAATCACATTTTGGAGTGCTGCTTATATTAAAAAAAAATAATTAACTAAGCAATATTTAATGTTTATTAATAATAATAAAAATTTTATATTAAAATTAAGTAGAGTTAACACTATATATTCCTTATTAATTTATTTGTTTGACACTAGAAAAGTAATTTAATAACCATTAATAAATCAGAGCTATAAATAATTTCTTTTCCATAGGAATATTATCCTTTTTATAATAATTATAATACTTCATCAACTGTTATTTGGGTAAGTTAAGCTTCTATATCTCCAATACACACAGTATTGAAATTATTTTAATATCATGTAATATCTATGTTAAATATAAGACACTTTTATATTTTACATATTTTTACTTGTAAGAACAACTTCTACATAAAATATTAAAAAAATATAAATCATAAAAAATGCACTTTTATTAAATTTATGATTATCTTTTAGAGAAAAACTAGTGTTAAAATATTAAAAATGATAGTATTTATACACACTACTTTTTATTAATAATACGCCAACGATTGTAACAAATTAAATTTAAAAAATAAAAATTCTTACTAAAATTATGTCTTAATATTTACAAAGACACCTTATGAAATTTAACCTTTTAAGAAAAAAGTAATATTATGAAGCGACAGCTGTTGAATTCATTTATGTTCTTTAATAAAAGGCTTCATTAACCTTTTTGGTAATAAAAAGGACTAGCTATACGAAGAATAGGTAGTTGGTCACACACACGCAAAAAAAAAAATATTGAACTTTTTTTTATTTTTTTTTTTAATAAATGGAGATACGTAAAAAAAAAATATACACATTTTTTTTAAAAAGATTTGATGAAAGAGAGAAAATTGGTAAAATAAAAATTGGGAATAACATTTAGTACCAATAAAAATGAGATCTTAAATAGATAAAAGATATTTACATATAAAAGAGTTTAATTTGCATAATATTTATATTTTTAATTTGTGAGAGAAAATTTTATACATATGACAATAAAATTTTCACGCAATTAATATCCATATAATTTATTTGCATTCTCTCTAATTATTAATGTTTGTTTATTCAACACCAATATATTTAAATTGCTGAACATAACTCATAACGAAGAAATAAATAATTTATATTTAATTAATAATCAACATTCAATAAGGATTTAAATTTTTAAAAAAAATAAAGATAATTATTAAAGTAAATAAATGACTATTGAAATTAAAAAAAGCTGAATGAAGTAGAGCACATAATTAAGAATCACTCTTTAAAGCATATAAAAGTATATATAAAGACACCATGATCGTAGAAACATCTCTACATGCTCTTTATTAATTTGTTTGTTCAGTTTTCGAGCAAAGTCACAGAACACCCAGTTAATAAATCAATACTATACAAATGTGTTACCTAAATTTCGTAAGTAAAATGAAAAATAAAATATTGTGCTATAAATATATAAAACTAGAAATAAAAAATAAAATAAACACATCGTAATAATAATCAACACTTATCAAATAAATATATAAGGGCAAAAAAAAAAAAAAATAAATAATTTTTTTTTTTATATTTTATTAGAAGATTATAATAATATTTATGGAAAACGTTATTTTATAATTCTGTTTTATCTTTATTTATTGATATTTTATGTATCACAATAAAAATTCATTCTTTTGAATTTTACAAGAAAATATATATTATATTTAACTAAATATATATTTTCATATACAGTAAATAACATTAATATTAAATTTGAAACTGATATATATTACTCGTAGAAATATAAATTTATAAAAATATATTTTTAGAATAAATTAAATAAATTTTTCAAAAAATAAAACTTATTTTAAAAAATATTTTTAACTATAAATATATGATTAAAAAAATAGTATTTTTTTTTCCTTTTTTAAATTGTAATTAATTTATTTCACTTTAAATGTGCTTTTTATAAGATTTGTTATTATAATTTCTTTAATGTAAATACCTATTTTCACTTTTTCTTTTGAATTTAAGTACTTAATAAATTTTTCTCATTTTTTTAAAATAGTTGAAAAAGTAATTTTTTTTAAAAAATTGTTATAACAAAAAATAAATATATGCATATATTGTATAAAAATTCATCATTAATGAAAATAAAAAAAAATGAATTAAGATAAAAAAAAAATATATTAGAGAAATCAGAAAAGTTATATTTAAAAGAAAAATATACACAAACAAAAATTAGTTTCATATTAAGTGAAAAATTGTGACAAATGTAGTATACTGCATGAAAAATACATGCGTATAAAAATTTTTAATTTATAGAGTTTTTTTTTTTTTTTTTTTTTGATGGAGATATATCTCTATAATATACGAAGATTTATATTAATAAATCATAATATACCGTATATAAAATAATCTAATGTTCGACATAATTCACACAGATTGGTTATTTAGAAATAAAAAATTAAAAAAAACCTCTAACATTAAATGTATATGATTTATAATTTTTATGTGCATTAAATTAAAAATATTTAATTTTTTTTTATAATTTAAAGATAAATAAAATTTTTAATAAAATATATTTAAAATAACATTATCCGATTTATTATATTTTTCATTTATTTGTAAAATAATATTCTTATTTTATTTTTTAAAGAATTAAGAATATTATTTCTATCTAAAGTAATAATAATATCATCTGTAATAATAAAAAGTTAGAAATTACATTTCTCATATGAAAATAATTTTCTATTTTATAAATATAAGAAATTAATATAAGATATAATAATATCTTAATTAATATTACCAATCCATAATTTAGTATTACTGAAAATTGAAAGAAATTTACACCTGAATTAACAACTGCCACTTCAGTATTATTATATAAATATATTAATATGAAAATGTTAACTTTATATTTAAATATTACTACACTCCTTCTTTTAATTTGGATATATCAATTTTTTTATAACGTAAGTTATAATTTTTACAAAAAATATACATATAGATATATTTTATTTCTAATTATTTTTAACTTTACATTTGATTTACTATTCTAGCAAAAGAAACATTCTACTAATAAATTTTTGTTTAATCCATAGTGTGATTCCTATAAAACGTTTTTTAATAAAAATAGATTGCAAATAAAAAATGAGAGAGTATTAGCAGAAGGTGATGTAGTAGGAAAAGAGCACACTTACGCTGAAGGGTGCCTAGGAGATTATTCACTAGATAATAAAAATAACAAATGGAAAAATATGGTTCAATACGAGAATCCGTGCGATAGATGGCAGAGAAAAACTAATCCATTATTGAGGAAGCTATTTAATAAGGAAACAAGTAAAATGGATCCTATATGGAGATACCAAAAATGGAATAATGAATGGAATAATATTTCAGCTAAAAAAGTTAATGATCTATCTTCTATATTTCATCAACATGATATTTCACAGGAAGAAAAAGAAAAATTAATTCGTAGTGTTGAAGAAGAACTCCAAAATGAATTTGTGAAATTTTTAGACGAATGTAGGAAAGAGATGAGAGACAATAAAACAGAATCCGAATCTAAGAAAGAGATGATGGAAAATAGAAAAGAATTCGAATCTAAGAAAGAAATGAGAGACAATAAAACAGGATCCGAATCTAAGAATGATATGAGATACAATAAAACTGAATCCGAATCTGTTAAAGAGATGATAGACAATAAAACAGAATTCGAATCAATGAAAGAGATGATAAACAATAGAGCAGAAACCGAATCTATGAAAGAGATAAGAGAAAATAGAACAGAATCCGAATCTGAGAAAGAGATGAGAGATAATAAAGCAGAATCCGAATCTGAATCTGAATCTGAGAAAGAGATGAGAGACAATAGAACAGAATCCGAATATATGAAAGACATGAGAGACAATAAAGCAGAATCCGAATCTGAATCTGAATCTGAATCTGAGAAAGAGATGAGAGACAATGAAACAGAATCCGAATTTAGGAATGAGCAGGGAACATATGAAAAAAAAAATTATAAAAAAAAAATTTGGGAATTACATATTGTTTTGATAATCTTAAGGTGAATATAAATTAATGGTTTAACATAGAATATAGGATTAGTCATGAACAAGATCTAGTTAAAAAAAAGAAAAATTAATGTTTTTTCTAAATTTGTTTTATGGAATTATATATTATTTTTTAAAAAAAAAAAAAATTAAAAGAGAAAAATTTTTTAGAAAAAAAAAAAAAAATTTCATGAGAATATTTTTTAATTTTTAAGAATAAATTTTCGTTTAGTGATATTAATATAATTAAATTTTTTTTTATTATTTAGCTATTTTTATTATTTTTAAAAGCATGTACTTAATTTACTGAAAATTACTTATAAAAAGAAATAAATATTTTGTACATAAAAATTAATTATTAATTAGAATATATGTTTTTAATAAAAATAAATAATTTTTATCATAGTAAATCCACTATGAACCGCATTATTGCGGTTTATTTGTTTATATAATTAAAATTAGATTTAAAATCCATTTAATTATTAGAGAAAACTCCATATTCTCTTTAATAATTTGTTTTTAATTACTCTAGCAAATTCATTGAATGATAATTTAATAATTTAAAAATGTAAATTATGGAAAGTAAATAAATCAGGTAGTAAATGTAGAGGTGATTTATTAACTGAGTGTTCGCTGACTTTATTAGAGTATTGATTTATTAACTGGGTGTTCGGGGACTTTATTATAGTACTGAACAAACCAATTAATAAAGAGCATGTAGAGATGTCTCTACGATTTTTGTATATTTATATATATTTTTATTTGCTTTGAACGAGTGATCTTTAATTATAATCTACTTCGTTGAGCATTTTTTATTTCAATATGTATTTATTTACTTTAATAAAAATCCTTAATTTTTATTAAAAATTTAAATACTTATTGAACATTAATTATTAATTAATTATAATTACTAGTTTATTTGTTATGAGTTATATTCAGCAATTATTTTATATTGCCGTTGAATTAACAAACATAAACAATTATTAACAAAAACAAAATAAATTATATAAATATTAATTACATGAAAATTTTATTGTTATATGTATAAAATTTTCTTTTACAAAATTCATCATAAATCAATTTTTTTTTTTTTTAAATTAACGTATTTATGTTTACAATAGATCCTGTTTATAATTATAAAAAAGATAAAACTAATTATACTTGTTAAAAACAGTTATTTTTAAGGAAAATNGATTTATTAACTGGGTGTTCGGGGACTTTATTATAGTACTGAACAAACCAATTAATAAAGAGCATGTAGAGATGTCTCTACGATTTTTGTATATTTATATATATTTTTATTTGCTTTGAACGAGTGATCTTTAATTATAATCTACTTCGTTGAGCATTTTTTATTTCAATATGTATTTATTTACTTTAATAAAAATCCTTAATTTTTATTAAAAATTTAAATACTTATTGAACATTAATTATTAATTAATTATAATTACTAGTTTATTTGTTATGAGTTATATTCAGCAATTATTTTATATTGCCGTTGAATTAACAAACATAAACAATTATTAACAAAAACAAAATAAATTATATAAATATTAATTACATGAAAATTTTATTGTTATATGTATAAAATTTTCTTTTACAAAATTCATCATAAAAATATTTCATTTCATTCCTCCATTCCCCAAAAAAAAAAAAAAATCTTTTTTTTTTTTCTTTTATTTATTTCTTGTAACAAATATTTTAAAAAATTGATTTTTTTTTTAATCAATTTTTTTCTGACTATCTTTACATTTTTTCTTTCCTGACAGTCTTTGTACTTTCTTTTTAAAAAGTTCAAACAAAAAAAAATCATCAATTTTTCTTATTTTTGTGTGTGTATGCATGACTAACTTCATATACTTCATTTAACTAGTCCTTTTATTTTCCAAAAAGTAAATGAAGCCTTTTATTAACCATACTCCACCACCAAAGGAATGTAATGGTTATTAATTAAGTTTGTCATTTTTGTATTGTTTTATTACATCAAGTCCCTTTTGTATTCCCTTTTCAATTCGTTTGTCCTGATTATCGTTGATATCGTCTCCTATGATACTATTCCTTTTATGAATATCTAGATAACCCTGAGACTTTAAATCATGCGTCAGATTTAATTTCCGTTTATTTTTATTCGTAACTTGTATCAAATTCTGCAATTGCTTCTTATGTATCTCCCTAGTTTTGTTACTCAACAATTTTATTTTTTATATTGGAATTTGTGCTTCCTTACCTCTATAATATATAGGTAATGCTTTCAAAATTCAGTTTTCAATTTTAGTTACTCTGTGAGGAAATGTCCAATAAGGTTTATATTGTATATTCCCACTATAGTGTTTCATTTGATTCCTTTCTCATTCCGATAATTCGTATGAGATAATATTTCCAACCTTAATATTTTTATTCTCAATTACAGGTATTCTTTGATTTCATTAACATCTTCATGTATGTTTTTCCATCGATCGTTTAAGTATATGATTCTCATTTCAGAAGTTGTTTCTAGTAATAATTTAGCAAACCCTGAACAGATACAATCTATTCCAAACATAGCAAAATAGAGTGTTTCTCCCATAGCTCCAAGAGGCGTATTATTATATATTAGTACTGCATTTTGTACTATTTCCTCAAAAGGTAGATCTTTTTCTTCATATAAAGTCTTAATGATATAATCTAAGCTTTTATGAAAGATTTCATTTATACCATTTTCTTGTGGATGATATGCCCTGGCATGATATAATTTAATCTGTAATTCTTATGTAACATATAAATTAAATTCATGATTAGTATAAATTGAACCGCGATCTGTTAAAATGCTTCTAGGGCATCCAAATATAGGTATCCATGTTTTCCTTATAATGTTACTTGCGTCAATAGCATTAGGTGTTTTATTAGTTATATTAGTTACCATAAAACGTGTATGATGATCTACTTCTACTTGTATATAATACTCTGTACCTTTCCATGTTTTAGGTTCTATAATATCTAATGAAACCATATCAAATACATTCGGTTTTGATAATGCTTGATTATTGTTGGGTTTAAATTTCCTATTACGCATTACATGACAAGTTAAAAAATTTGTGACGTATTCTTCAATATTTTTACTAACATTGGGTCGCCAATAATGTTTTTGTATTTTCTTTAGTGTTTATTTCCTCCAAATTGTCCTGCGAATTTACTATTATGAAACCAATACATTAAATGATTTCTATATTTTTCTTATATATATAATTTTCCTGTTCTATAGTTGATTAAGAAAAGGCTTTATTAACCTTTTTGGAAAATAAAAGGATTAGTTAAATGAAGAATACTAATTTGGTCATGTATACACACAAAAAAAAAATATTGATGATTTTTTTTTTGTTTGCACTTTTTTTTTTATAAAAAAAGCACAAAGACTCTGAAAAAAAGAATTTGACAAAAAAAAATGTATAGATCGTCAGGAAAAAAATTGATTAAAAATATAAATTAGAAAAATATTTGTTACAAATGAATAAAAAAAAAAAAAAAAAATTTTTTTTTTTTGGAAAGGAAAGAAAATATGTTTTTTTATGATGAATTTTGTAAGAGAAAATTTTATACAAATAATGATAAAATTTTCATGTAATTAATATTTATATAAATTTGTGTATTTGTCAATCATTTTTTACATTTGTTAATACAACACCAATATATATTAATTACTAAATATAACTCATAACAAAGAAATAAGTAATATATATTTAATTAATAATTAATGTTCAATAAGTATTTAAATTTTTAATAAAAATAAGGATTTTTATTAAAGTAAATAAATACCTATTGAAATCAAAGAATGCAGAACGAAGTATATTACATAATTAAAGATCACTCGTTCAAAGCATTTAAAAATATATATAAATACATCAAAACCGTAGAGGAAACTCTACATGCTCTTTATTAATTTGTTTATTCAGTATTCTAGCAAAGTCACCGAACGCTCAGTTTATAAATGAATACCACAGATCCTTATATAATAATCAAAAGTTTCACAAGTTGTAACTATTGAAAATAATTTTTTTTATATTGTACTCTATTTCCGCCGAATGTCACTAAGTTTTCTTGACATACAGTGAACATATTTAGCTTTACCTATATTGATTATATCGGTTAATACACTTCTCTAAAAATAATACTATTTACCATTTTTGTATAATATTTAGACATATAAATAGAATAAAAACATTCTATTTTGTGCATGCTATTTCGCAAGGACAATTTGCTATCATAAATGCTTGCTCTAAAATAGTTATTCAAAAAGTATGCAAACAAAAAATATATGTATATAGATACTTGCGCTTAAAGTGAGCACACTTAAAAAAAAATAAATAAATAATAATATTTTTTTTGTGTGGATATTTACAATTAAAAAAAAATATATACTTTGATGATATTTTTTTTATTACAAAAAAGAAATTATTTTTTTTTTTTTTTTTTTTGGATGATAATGTGCAGACTACTATAGAATGTATATTTTTATTTTAAGATAAAATGTAATATTAAGGAAATTACATTTTGAAGTGTTGCTTATATTAAAAAAAAAATAATTAACTAAGTAATATTTAATGTTAAATAATAATAATAAAAATTTTATATTAAAATTAAGTAGAGTTTACACTACATTTTCCTTATTAATTTATTTGTTTGACACGAGAAAAATAATGTAACAACCTTTAATTAATCAGAGCTATAAATAATTTCTTTTCCTTAGGAATATTATCTTATATATAATAATTATAATAATTTTAAACTTCATATACTGTTATTTGGATAATTTACGTTTATATATCTACAATACACAAACTATTCAAATTATTTTAATATCATATAATATCTATGTGAAATGTAAGACACTTTTATATTATACATATTTTTGCTAGTAAGTACAACTTCTACATATAATATTAAAAAAACATAAATCAGAAAAATGTACTTTTATTAAATTTATGATTATTTCTTAGAGAAAAATTAGTGTTATAATATTAAAAATTATAGTATTTATACAC